AAACCGGTTGGGGGTTTGGGGTTGGGGGTTTGGGTTTGGGGTTGGGGTTTGGGGTTCGCTGCCCCGGCGCGTTGCGGGTTCAGGGTTTAGGGTTTAGGGTTTAGGGTTTAGGGTTTAGGGTTTCAGGTGTCCCACTTCGTATTTCATATTTCGTGATTTTGCTCACACATGGGGCTCGGGGTTTCGGGAGCGGGCTGCGGGTCGAGGGTTTGGGGTTTAGGGTTTAGGGTTTAGGGCTTAGGGTTTAGGGTTTAGGGTTTAGGGTTTAGGGTTTAGGGCGATGGAGACTGCGGCGATGTTGAGTTTGCCCTCTGCGCGTTGGGTCACGGAAATGTACTTGAGAGAAAGAGACAGAGGAGTTTTGGCAAACAAAACGCATGCAGAAAGAGAGACTTTGCATGCAGAAGAGTTGGCCAGAAAACAAAGAGATGCTTTTTACTGGCAGGTAAACCCTAAACCCTAAACCCTAAACCCTAAACCCTAAACCCTAGCCCGCGCCCAAGCCCGAAGGCCCGCTGGACGCATGCAGAAAGAGAGACTTTGCATGCAGAAGAGTTGGCAAGAAAACAAAGAGATGCTTTTTACTGGCAGGTAAACCCTAAACCCTAAACCCTAAACCCTAAACCCTAAACCCTAAACCCTAGCCCGCGCCCAAGCCCGAAGGCCCGCTGGACGCATGCAGAGAGAGAGACTTTGCATGCAGAAGAACTGGCCAGAAAACAAAGAGATGCTTTTTACTGGCAGGTAAACCCTAAACCCTAAACCCTAAACCCTAAACCCTAAACCCTAGCCCATTCCCTGAGGCCCATTCGACGCATGCAGAAAGAGAGACTTTGCATGCAGAAGAATTCGCTAGAAAACAGTGAGACCCGTTTTACTGGCAGGCAAGGAACCCTAAACCCTAAACCCTAAACCCTAAACCTTAAACCCTAAACCCTAAACCCTAAACCCTAAACCCTAATGCTATAAACCCTTGTTGCAATAAACCCTAGGCGTCCCAAACACTAGGTGCTCTAAGCCTCAAGTCCCCTAAATCCTGAGTGCCACAAAACCCCGCTGTTCTAAACCCTAATTATCCCAAACCCTAATTATCTCAAACCCTAATTATCTCAAACCCTGATTATGCGAGGTTTCAAATGCCCTAAACCCTAATTACGTTAAACCGTAGGTACGCTGAGCCCTAAGCCTGGATACCCTAAACCCTAAACCCTAGGTTAGGGTTTAGGGTTTAGGGTTTTGCGTGTGGGTCTTGACGTGTTCTGCACAGGTGCAAGGCTTGTTTTTTTGCGTTCAGGGCTCAGGGCTCAGGCCTCAGGGTTTAGGGTTTAGGGTTTAGGGTTTAGGGTGTAGGGTGTAGGGTTTACGGCGTCGAGGAGGTCCTGGCTGCGTAGGGTTTAGGGTTTAGGGTTTAGGGTTTAGGGTTTTGGTTTTCGTGCAGCCTTCTGGGGGAGAGTCGATTGCGAATTTGTGTTTGCGAGTGGACAAGGTGATGGACAACTTGGCAGAGTCGTGCGCAGGTCAGTTAGGGTTTAGGGTTTAGGTTTTAGGGTTTAGGGTTTAGGGTTTAGGGTTTAGGGTTTAGGGTTTGTGTGCAGGTTTGCGGGTGTTGATAGTGTGCCACGGGGGAGTGATAAAGTCCTTCCGGGCGTTGATAGAAAAAGTGCGTCCAGCGGACGCGCGGCGGGAAACAGCAGCAGCAGCAGCAGCAGCAGCAGCAGCAGCAGCAGCAGCAGCAGCAGCAGCTGCTGCTGCCAACCCGAGCAGCAGCAGCAGCAGCAGCAGCA